CATCCATCCATCCATCCATCCATCCATCCGTCCGTCCGTCCATCCATCTGTCCATCCATCCATCATAAATTTAATCTTTCATTTTTTCACTTTTTCCCACATTCAACTCATCAATCTATAAAAATCTGTTTCAGAATGAAGAAGGTGGACTTAAGAAGAGAACTGTAAGAGGAGGCATATTAACAAAAGTAATGGGAACCCTTCATAACATGGCAAAGAGAGTACCCACTAGACCTAACTTTTATGCCTGCCATGCCGTCAAGATATTACTGCCCTTGATAGAGGATGAGGTCAATTGTTTTGCCATAGATGCACTACTTATTATAGCATACCTAATAGATGAGGAGAATAACAATCTAATAATGGCAAATGAAGGTACACAAAAGTCTGATGATCTTTATGATGATGATAATAATGGGAAGCATGGGACTAGCCTAACAGCGAGAGCCCTCACCTCTCACCAATGCAACCTGAGTCCCACTGGGCTTGGTGTTGTATGTGACTGGAGTTGTTTGTTAGTTCTCTCCTAGGCTTCAAGTGATGGTGATGGTGATGGTGATGGTGATGGTGATGGTGATGGTGATGGTGATGGTGATGGTGATGGTGATGGTGATGGTGATGGTGGTAATGATAATGATAATGCAGTTATCTTCCAATTTCCACATAGGTCCTATTAAGTACCTGATTTCAATGATTAGTAAGGCAACAGAGAAATCAATACACAGGTACCTTGGCTACACAAACAGTGAGCTTGCACAGGGCCTGGCTCAAATAGCCATCAATGACAACAACAAGAAACAGGTACATTAATACATGAAACATCAACTTTAACCAATTTTGAAACAGCCTCTAAGCTTACAGATCAACGTCAGGCACAGCTAACAAACAGATTGAATCCTGAAACAACCTTGACCTCTGGGCTGATCAAAGTCAGTTATACATGTAGCTAACTTAAAGATAGAAGTTGAATTTAGCTCAGGTTTTGCAGCTATACTGTAGCTTTTTTCAGACTTTGATCAGCCCAGAGTTTGCTTCAGGGTTTGATCTGTGAGTTAGCCATGCCCTAACTTAGATCAGCCCAAAGGTTGGTTCATGGTTCGATCTGTGAGTTAGCCGTGCCCTAACTTAGATCAGCCCAAAGGTTGTTTCAGGGTTCAATCTCTGAGTTAGCCATGCCATAACTTAGATCAGCCCAAAGGTTGTTTCAGGGTTCGATCTCTGAGTTAGCCGTGCCCTAACTTGGATCAGCCCAAAGGTTGTTTCAGGGTTCGATCTCTGAG